CCCTCCCCCCCCATCGCTGGGATTGGACCAGTGACTTGTGAAGGTTCCTAGTTATGGGGACCTGTGCCTGTGTTCTTGTTGGTGGAACTGTGTCTTGTCTCCCTGAAGGGTAGTGCCATATCCAGTAGTGTGTTTTGGGGTTTCTCTGGGCTTGTTATGGCTTTGGGCAGCCTGTCTGATAATGGGCAAGTGTGTGTTCCTATTTTGCTAAAGGTGTTACTTGAGGTGTCTGGTATTGAAGCTTGCTTGCTTTTGGGTAAGACTTGGCCTTAGTGTTGAGAGACCTTTGGAAGAGCTCTTGTGATTAATGTTCCATGGTTGGGAGGTCTCTTGGTGCTGAGTCTTGTACTGAGGTCTCCCATCTCAGGGGTTAAGGCCCAACCCCTTAGTGTAGCTCCAAGATGTCACAGGCCACACAGCACAGAACGCAAAACCCCAAGACTGATGGTTAAACCACAGTCAAGGACACCCAAAGAAACTCACACACTTATATTGAGAAAAGAGCAAGAAAAAAGAGATGAAAAGAAAAAGAGAAAAACAGGAGTCAAAAATGACGAGAATAATCAAGCCATTAAACAAATCTATATGTGAAAATCAGTGCTAAAAACTAGACTAGCACATTGGAGAAGGAAATGGCAGCCCACCCAGTGTTCTTGCCTGGAGAATCCCAGGGACAGGGGAGCCTGGTGGGCTGCTGTCTGTGGGGTCGCACAGGGTCGGACACGACTGAAGCGACTTAGCAGCAGCAGCAGCAGGCCAGCACAAATACAAAGTAAAAAGCATGGAAAAAATGCAATATAACTGAAGAGTACTGTAAAAACAGGAAAAAATAGAATGAATTCATTTAGAAATACGATGTTTTAACAAAGGCAAAAGTAGTTCATAAAAAAATAACAAAGGTTTAATAAAGAAAGAACATTAGAACAATATGAAAAAGAAAAATCTATAGAGTGATAGCTAGAAGAATGTTGTACTAATTCCTCATTTTCCTCTTCACACAGTGTGCTGTGGTCGGTCTACCTACTCAGAAAGTCTTCCAGCATTTCTGGAACGGTCTTTGGACCTGTTGTGGGCAGTGTAGTGTCGGCTCAAACTCAGACTTTGCCTTAGTCAGTACTGGCTTTACTTGCCCCCAGAGTCCACAATTGCCGCTAAAGTCCACAATTTGGGGCTGGTTGTTGGGATTTAGGCTGCTGCACCTGCAGCCGCAAGAGCTATTTTCCCTTATCTCTGGTGCTCACACGCCCCTGGTTCTCTGCTCTGGTTTAGGCCCTGCCTCTGCGGGTAGGCCTCCCTCTCCTGTCTGTTTTCCACCTAGCCATGAGGGGACAAAACCAGCAGCTTATTAGGGCTCACTTGTTCAGTTGGACTGGGGAAAGGGAGGGGTACGGCAGACACATTTGGGGTGTGTGGGGAGTGCCCACTGAGGCTGAGATCTGCAGGAAGTCGCCACACTCTAAGGAAGGTCATGCACCTCCCCAGGGGAGTTGGCCTCAGGCTGTGGGTCCCTAGGCAGAGCCAAGCTGCTCAGGCCTCCGGGAAGGTGTGGGCAGTGACCTGTGCCCACTCATGGGATGCTGGCAGTTGCAACCCCTGGGGTCGGGACACAGTGGCCTCCTGTCCACCGCCTCTGGCCCCCACACTGGCCTGGCAGCACTCAAGTGTCCCGTGTTCCCCCGTCTGGTGTCACAGACTGCAGTTGCGTCTGTTTCTGCATCTGGCCCTCCTGCCAGGTTTTCTGATTCTGGAGTCACTGACGGTCGCTCTCTCCTTTTCCCTCCGGCACTTGTGACGATGGGGTCCTGCCTTCCATGAGCACGGGGAGTTAGAGCCTTCCTGCCGCAGTGATCTCGTGCCTCTCTGGCAGGCCCAGACTTTCGCCTGAACTCCCGTAGCTGTGTCATACTAACCTCAGAGTGTCTTCATGGTGGTCAAGCCCAGTCCTCTCCCCGGGGTCCGACCCCCACAGCCTGGGCCTCGACGCCCAGCCTCCACTCCCTGGCAGGCATTCAGGCCTCCTCTCGACTGGGAAGGGCTGTTTGGCAAGATCTCTGTGGTGAATTCTCTCGGCTTTGCCTCCTGAGCGCCTGTTGCTGGGTTCCCCTCGGAGGGTCCAGAGGTCCCCCTCGGAGGGTCCAGAGGTCCCCCTGGCCCTCCCATGAGGGGTTTCCGAGTGTGGAAGCTTTCCCCCTGTCATGGCTCCCTCCACAGGGCGCTGGTCCCCATCTCAGAATCCTTTGTCTCTTTGTCTTTGCTGTATCTCATTCTTACCTTATTTCACTGATAAGACTGACTTATCTTTTTGGCAGTCACTTGGTCTTCTGCTGGTGTTCAGAAGTTGTTCTGTAGGAGTTGTTCCACATGCAGATGAATTTTAGATGTGTTTGTTGGGGGAAAGGTGATCTCCCCATCTTACTCGTCTCCCATTTGAAGGTCTCCTGGACATTAATATTCTTAAACACTTGCCTACCTGTCCTGA